TATTAGATTACATTATAACGTTATTACAAAGACTAAATAATATTAGAATATGAGTAACACAATTTTAACTAGTTTCAGTAGTTTGATAACTTACATACTTTTTTATTACAAGTATGTTATAAATAGTTTTATTTGTTGGCCTAAAAATATTATTTGTTTTATATTCCATTTTAAAGATAGCAAAAATCTATAAATTCAAAGAATGATTAAAAATACAAATTAAAAACTCGTGAATTTTTAGTGATTATGTTTCTACGTAACACTAAATCATTCAATCATTCAAATTATGAACTTTTACCTTCACATAAATAAATAATATTTCTAAACTTACCTATAGAATATATGATATTAAATGACATTTATTTGTTCTGTATATTTTAAAATTAAGTACATTTACTTATATTATGTAATTATAAATTAATATTAGAGAATATAAGAATCTACCTCTTTCACTTATCTTAAATAATTTATCTCAAGATAAAATAATACCTTTGAAGTTAAAAATATAAGGATGTTGAAATACATACTATTTTGAAAAAATTAACAATTCAATTTATAAAACGTTAAGTTATATATAGTTAATATAATAAATTATGATGCACATATTTAATGTATGACTATAATTTTTACGAGTAAGAAATGTAAAATATTTCATTTAAATGTATTTAAATATTTATAATAAATTACAGTATTTAATATTATATTTTACATAATAGTGAAGGTAGAATTTGGTTTACTTCATTTWWAAAAAAAAATATAACTGTTCTAGACATTTTACTACATAGGCATTACTATATTATTAAGGATTGAAGTGTGAGTAAAGTGAAAAGAGTCCTTATATTTTTACAATCATATATTGTGTATTTTTTTCAATTTATAGTGGTTAGAATTAATACAGTAAATTAATCAATCGAATGTTGACAGTGCCACCAAACATTGTGGACGATGAAAGTTCCACTTCAACTGTAGCTGTAAGAGAAGGCCTCAATATATCACTTACATGTAAAGCAAAAGGTAATCCGGARCCAAGGATTGTGTGGAAAAGAGAAAATGGATTCAATATAACTGTAGATAAAAGGAAAAAAGGTAAAAATAAAAACATTACATGTGTACTTAGATAATATAATTTTCGCTATTTAAATGTTGACTTCTGTAAATCAAGACATTTATATATATAACATTTACAAATTGTTTATTGTATTCATTATTTATTTATATTTATTGTTTGACTCCGCCATTGTTTGATCAAATTCGTTTAAAAGGTTTCTGTTTTTGACACTTTTACATCTCACATATTGCCTAAACACGAAGTTAATACATAGTTAAATAATATAATGCTGAGTTTAATCAGTAATTACTTATTA